TCAATGAACAGCCTATAGGTTCAGTTGTTTATGTTGCTTTTGGCAGAACAACAGTCTTCAGCCAGAACCAGTTCCTTGAATTGGCCCTTGGTCTTGAACTTGCAGGTAAGGCTGTAAAGGAGTCAAGTCTAGCTGAGTAGAGTAGTGGATTGTTCAAGTTTGATTTAAAAACTTAACGAATTTCAAAATGTGTTTAAGCTTGACTTGTTTATCATTCTAATTGATCTTAAAAGAGTTTTAATCAAGCTAATCTAGGGTAAAGTACACTTTTTACCTGTATAGTTTAATCTAAATTTCATTTTAGTCCATATTATTTCAATTTGATCTCTACGCTATAAGTCTAGTTTTAATTTTGGCGCTTGTGTCCAAATTTCCTTTACGTGTACACTTTAGGAGACTAACAAGTGTCCAAAAATCGTTAAATTCAATAGTAGATTGATTCATTGTCCTGTCCTACTTGTAGGCCGACCATTCTTGTGGATTGTTCGACCAGACCTCACAAATCGATCATTCGCCGAATACCCAGATGGGTTCGCTGAGAAAGTGGCCGGTTGGGGGAAGATTGTCGAATGGGCACCTCAAGAGGTGTTAGGTCACCCTGCAATTGCTTGTTTCTTTACACATTGTGGTTGGAACTCAACAATGGAGGGTGTGAGCAGTGGCGTGCCATTTCTGTGTTGGCCTTACTTTGGGGACCAATTTCATAACAGAAGCTATATTTGTGATGTCTGGAAAGTTGGTTTAAGGTTAGAATACGATGAAAATAAGATTGTATCGAGGGACGAAATTAAAAACAAGATTGAGAAATTGCTTTCTGATGATGATATGAAAGCGAATAGTTTGAACTTGAAGGAAATTGCTAGAAAGAGCATTGAGAAAGGTGGATCTTCTTGTAAGAATTTAGAAAGATTTGTCCAACATCTGAAACAGTGATGAAGATGATGATTGATGCAACTAGTTTTACTGTTTGTTAGACTCTGGCAATTCAATGCATTGTTGTAAAATCATGAATTGAAATGTTAATCGTTTTGGTGAAATATGAAATGACGTTTTTGTTGGAAATGGTAGAAAAATTCTGGGTAAAACCCGAATTTTTTCTCAAGTTTGATCTATTTTTTAGGTGGGCCCCGAGCGTCGATTTACTCCGGTCAAAGTGGTAACGCGTTCTATGCCGCGTTGTGATTCACGTGGTATATTTGGTTGCTCAAAACCATTACCGAGTGAATGGAAAATTGAAGCCAAAAAGTGCTCCATGAAAATGGAGTTTTGGTGGAAATTCCTTAAGGTTGTAAATTGGCTTGTCCCATATTAATTTGGTGGGAAGTTTTGAAAGGGTTTATAAGGCTTGGGTTAGATACTTGGGGTGTGCCCAAGGGGTACCCAAGTGTTTTAGAGGGAGAGGTTATGGGCAAAATGGGCTAGACCCATTGGACTCAAAAATCACCACACGCGCGCGCCACCGCCGCTGTTCGTCCGGTCGGGAGGGCTGGGCTTGGGCGCGGGTGCGTGGTTGGGTTGGGCTTGTTTGGCTCAATTTTAATCTTTTTGGGTCAAAAACATTTGAATTTAATTTTAATTTTGGTAAAATAAAATCCAGAATTCAAAATTAAACTGAGTTGGATATTCTGTACATCCAAATAGAGCCCTTCCCGTTTTCAAACAGAAATAAACTAGTTTGGAATTAGTGCACACCCAAACAGGGCCCTTCCCCTTTTTTGCTATCTGTTTGACTTATTAACAGATTCAAATCTGTTTGAATTCAAAACCAACAGGTATCATACCTGTTCAATTTAAAACCAAGAGCCACCTTTACATCTATAAATAGGACCACCATCATTTGATGTTTTTCATTCAGAAATTTCGTATTTCACCTCTGCTTATTCTATTCTTCATTTTGTTGCATTTTATTTCTGAAACAAAGAGTGTAAACACTTAGTGTGTTCGTAAGGCAAACAATTTGTAGTGCTGCTATTGTTTGTGGTAGATCATTTCATCCTGGGAGATAGACGTCCGAATTCTGAAAGCACCGTGGAGAGGACGAATCTGTCTTAAGGACACAGTGTTAAACACTGGACTTGATCAGAAAAGTTATTCAAATAAATTAACCAAGTAAGTTGTTTAATTTTATTCTGTTTTTATTTGTTTATTTAATCAGATTTTATTTTTGTTTTTGTAACAAAATAAAATCTGTGGTTTTATTTATTTATTTATTATTTAGAGTTTGATTTTTGTAATCAAACAAATTCTCACCTTTTCTTTATTTCTTTAAATTCTAATTGTTGTTGTGTACACAATAGAATTAAATCTTTTAAATACAGTGAAGATTGTCCTACAATCTTAAGATAGAATCCTTTTTTGATATCTTCATTGTATTTAATTTTCTGTGTTTTCAAAGTAATATTCTGATTGGAAAAACAAATAGTGATTTATGCTATTTGACAGATAGTATTAATATACTGTCTCTTTTCTTTGACAATTAGTAGTAATATACTGGTGTCATTAACAATTGCAGAATATTATTTGGTATTACAGAAAATTATTGTGATATTTTATTTTTCTAGTTTTAGTAACAAGGAAAATAAAATTATTTCGTTGTTATAATTTATTTTCTGGTTTTAGTAACTAGAAAATTAATTTGTGTTTTAATTTTTTCTGATTTTTGTAATCAGAGATTATGGCTACTACAACTGAAAATGCATCTGGCAGTAGTACTCCTATTGTTACACCTACATCGATCCCTATCTAGAACCATGTTCATGTACCAATCAATCATGGAGAAAAACCGGAAAAATTTAACCGTACCGAGTTTAAGAGATGGCAGCAGAAGATGCTGTTCTATCTTACAACTCTTAATTTGGCCCGGTTTCTCCATGAAGAGGCTCCAGCACTTAAAGACGGTGAAAATGATCAGCAAGTTATTGCCGCTGTAGATGCTTGGAAACATTCAGATTTCCTGTGCAGAAACTACATCCTAAATGGTCTTGACAATATGCTGTATAATGTATACAGTCCTCTGAAAACAGCAAAAGAATTGTGGGATTCTTTGGAGAAGAAATATAAGACAGAAGATGCCGGCATGAAGAAATTTGTCGTCGGTAAATTTCTAGATTTTGTTATGGTAGACTCCCAAACGGTAATATCTCAAGTTCAAAGTTTTCAAATAATTTTGCATGATATTCATTCAGAAGGTATGTCTCTTAGCGAGTCATTCCAAGTCGCTGCTTTAGTGGAAAAGTTACCACCGGCTTGGAAAGATTTCAAAAATTATTTAAAACATAAACGCAAAGAGATGACTATGGATGAATTGATTGTAAGATTAAAAATTGAGGAAGATAACCGAAAGGCTGAAAAGAGGAATGGAAAAAATCCCATTGAGTCCAAGGCTAATGTGGTTGAACAAGTTCATAAACCACATAACAAAAACAGAAAGTTTACTGGGGATGGTCCTAAACAAGGCGATAGTAGCAAGAAGTTCAAAGGAAAATGCTATAACTGTGGCAAAACTGCACATCGAGCTTCTGACTGCTGCCGCCCTAAGAAGGATCATGGAAGTACAAGTAAGAAGACCACCAATTAGGCCAATATAACAGAATTGGATTACATCTCTGACGGAGTGAATGACCTCAACCTTTCTGCTGTGGTGTCTGAGGCTAACTTGGTTGGAAATCCCAAAGAGTGGTGGGTTGACACTAGAGCAACTCGTCACATATGTGCGGACAAGAAGATGTTCACTACCTACAATGAGGCTGTAAATGGTGAACAACTTTTCATGGGAAATTCTTCTACTTCTACTGTGGCTGGACAAGGGAAAACGATCTTGAAGATGACATCAGGGAAAGAACTGACCATCAACGACGTAGTGCACGTACCTGACATCCGGAAGAATTTAGTTTCTGGGTCTTTGTTAAGTAAAAATGGTTTTAGGCTTGTATTTGAGTCTGATAAATTTGTATTAACAAAGAGTGGTATGTATGTTGGTAAGGGATACATGAGTGATGGTCTCTTAAAGTTGAATATAATGACAGTTGTACCGAAAGTTGCTATGAATAAGAATAACACATCTTTTGTTTATATTCTTGAGTCAAATTTATGGCATGGTAGATTAGGACATGTGAATTTTGATGCTTTGCGTAGATTAATTGGTTTGATTATATACCAAAGTTTGAAATTAATCCTAATCATAAATGTGAAATTTGTGTAGAAACGAAACTAACTAAGGCTCCATTTAAATCGGTTGAAAGGAAAACCGAACCTCTAGAATTAATTCATACTGATGTATGTGATCTATAGTTTATTCAAACTAGAGGAGGCAAAAAGTATTTCATAACTTTTATCGATGATTGCGCAAGATATTGTTATGTTTATTTACTTAGAAGTAAAGATGAAGCCTTAGAAATGTTTAAACTCTACAAAACAGAAGTTGAAAATCAACTTGGTAAAACCATTAAAATAGTTAGAAGTGATAGGGGTGGTGAATATGATGCACCATTAAATGAATTTTGTGCACAACATGGCATTATTCACCAAACTACAGCCCCTTATTCTCTACAGCAAAATGGAATTGCTGAAATGAAGAATAGAACCCTAAAAGAAATGACGAATGCCATGTTACTAAGTTCAGGCTTACCACAGAACTTGTGAGGGGAAGCAATATTGTCTGCTAATTATGTTCTTAATAGAATACCCCACAAGAAAACCAAAAGTATTCCTTATGAATTGTGGAAAGGTCGACCACATTTCTACAAATACTTAAAAGTGTGGGGGTGTTTGGCAAACATTGAAGTTCCTGTTCCTAAAAAGACTAAGATTGGACCAAAAACAGTAGACTGTGTGTTTATTGGTTATGGACAGAATAGTAGTGCATATCGGTTTCTGACTTATAAATCAGAAATACCTGATATAAATGTGAACACTATTATAGAGTCAAGGAATGCTATGTTTTTCGAACATGTATTTCCTTATAAGAAAGGACAAGAATTAAATTCACAGAAAAGAACTTATGATTGTACACAAAGTCAAGAGACTAATGACAATCAAACACAAGAGACTAGTAATGGTCTCAACTAACAGGATTTAACTGATGAACCAAGACAAAGTAAGAGAGCAAGAACATCAAAATCCTTTGGTCCAGATTTTCTGACATACTTGTTAGAAAATGAACCTTAAAGCTTTAAGGCAGCAATGACAGGTCCTGAAGCACCTTTGTGGAAAGAGGCTGTTAATAATGAAATTGAATCCATTATGCAAAATCATACTTGGGAATTGGTGGATCTTCCACCAGGTTCTAAACCTCTTGGACATAAATGGATATTCAAGAAGTCTGTGAAAGCAGATGGTTCAATTGAAAACCCCGAGTGTCGATTTACTCGGGTCAAAGTGGTAACGCGTTCTATGCTGCGTTGTGATTCACGTGGTATATTTGGTTGCTCAAAACCATTACCGAGTGGATGGGAAATTGAAGCCAAAGTGTGCTCCATGGAAATGAAGTTTTGGTGGAATTTCCTTAAGGTTGTAAATTGGCTTGTCCCACATTGATTTGGTGGGGAGTTTTGAAAGGGGTTATAAGGCTTAGGGTGAGATACTTGGGGTGATCTAAATGAAGAGATCTATATGGAACAACCCGAAGGGTTTGTAGTATCAGGGCAAGAAAAGAAAGTTTGTCGACTTGTAAAATCCCTTTATGGATTAAAACAAGCACCTAAGCAATGGCATGAAAAATTTGATCATGCAATGCTTACTAATGGGTTTAAGATAAACGAATGTGACAAATGCGTCTATGTTAAAAACACTGACCAAGGATATGTCATAGTTTGTCTTTATGTGGATGACATGCTTATCATCGGAAGTAGTAAAAACATGATCAAATCAACTAAGCAGATGCTTAACAAAAGATTTGATATGAAAGATATGAGGGTCGCAGATGTTATATTAGAAATGAAAATTACTAAAACATCTGACGGATATGCATTATCTCAATCTCATTATATTGAGAAAATTCTTGATAAATTTATCAAGGATGATTTGAATTTAGCTAG